TGAAGTGAATGTTTCAGAGAGGAGCGTGCAGGCTGTGGCAGTAGGGAAGACTGAGCATGACCCACAGAGGAGGAGATTCTGAAAACATTCTTTCTGAACTACAGCTTTGACCTCATTCTGCTCCAGTGCTGGTTCCCTATTGCCTTCAGAATCACATTTGTTTTTACATGAGGTTAACTTGTTACAATGAAAAGAAAATAAAAATTCAATCTTCTGGAAAAACAGACTATCTTATTCTAAACTCTCCATTCAAATTAAATTCATATATTTAAATATAAAACAAATAAGACATGTAGTTTTAAAATATTTTCAATGTTGTTATTCAGAAAAATACTTGAATGTATCTGTAATTTATGAAGCTAGAAAACAGATCCTGGTCACTGTACGTATGGCAGGACTCAAAGTCTAAGTAATCTGTAAAGTTCTTCAAAATAGCTCACCTGTGAGAAAGTGACATTTCTCTCTAAAATGAACTATTCCCGGAGTCTTGTGGTAGGAGGCAATACCCTTGGCTCAGTTCCACCTAGACTCGCAGTGCTATTCAGCTGCCAATGTGGAGGGGCCTCAGTGTGGAGCCCTCACTTGGACTGTGGTGATCCGTTCCTGCTGGTTCTCAGACCTGCTGCCTGCACTTTGTGTCTCCACCTCATCCCGTTAGTTATCTCGTGTCTCGGAAACAAGTTCTCTGACTTCTGTTACTAAACATCTTTATTAGAATGGTCACTTAAAGCAATTGCAAGTCCCCCTCCAAAAACTGAATAGTAATAATGCTCTAATAAATTATAAGTCATATGAAATTTTTGAAAAACAGGCATGTTACATTGTGCAGTAAATGTAATACAAAGGTGGCAAATCAAATTTTGATGAATTAGAAATATATTTGACATGCATGAAAGGAGGAAATACCAAGGAAATCTTTCACAAAAGAATACTTCTATAATTTGAACTATTAACTTTAATTTATCCATTTTGAAAGTTCTAATTTGTAATATCTTTCTTATACTAATGTCATTGAAAGAGGAGTATGAAGCAATATAATAGCATTTAGAGAAGTATTTTAACATAAAAAAGGTCCCCAGACGACAAAACCATTTATCCTTAACCATGACCTACAGGCTGTACTTTTGTAAGTTCTTAACAGTAACTTTTAATGCAAAGAGTGATGGATTCTAGTGTTTTAAAAAATGACCCCTCTTTGAAGGAGGAATATCAAACTCCAAATGGATCATTTCTCTTTTTTCAATAATTTTTTAGTGTTTATTTATTTACTTTGAAAGTAAAGTGTCATTCATTAAAATTATGTATCTATCTATTAGGTTTTAAAACATTTTAAAAATTAGGAATAAGGGGCATCTGGGTGGCTCAGCTGGTTGAGTGACTCTTGACTTGGGCTCAGGTCATAACCTCTCATGGCTTGTGAGATGGAGCCCCATGCCGGCTCACACTAAAGCGCTGAGCCTTCTTGGGATTCTCTCTCCCTCTCTCTCTGCCCTTCCTTCTCACTCTCTCTCTCAAAATAAAAATAAATATTTTTAAAAGCTAGGAATAAAATAGCTCTTTACCAGGAAAAACAAATAGTAAATAGTATATCCCTAATTTAACAAAAGACACATTTTCATCACAACTAGGAGCAAAACATGGTTCTGGAATTCCTGAATAATGTAGTAAGACATTAAAGAGAAATAACAGATGTACCAATGGAAATGAGAAGAAAAAATTATCATTATTAGCAAATATCTTATAACTTTATAGACTTTAGCTCCGGTCATGATCTCACAGTTTGTGAGTTCAAGTCTTACATCAGGCTCCATGCACTGATAGTGTGGAGGTTGCTTGGATTCTCTCTCTCCCTCTCCCTCTGCCCCTCCCCAGCATGCATATGCATACTTTCTCTCTTTCTCTCAAAATAAATAAATAAACATTGGAAATATATATATATATATATGGAAAAACCCCTATTCAAACCACAAGAACAAAAAGAACTAAACATTAATACCCTAACTATAAATGCATGGATGCTATATGAAGATAATTGAGAATCCTACTAAGGAAAAAGAATATTTGAACAAATGAAAGGATTAGCATGATCCTTGGATTGGAAAAAATAATAAATATTTTAAAGATACCAATTATTCTCTAAGAATCTATAGGTTTAAAATAATTTTAGTGGCGATAGCTTTGTCTTCATAAATTATCCTAAATTTTGCCACATGAATAGAAAAGAGCCCCTAAATAAAAATAAGTAATGACAGAAGACTATAGACATGACAGAAGGATATTAAAGCAAATTACAAATCCACAAAAGTAAAACACTGTGTTATTGGCACAATAAAATAGAAAAGATCTTCAGAAATAGACTGCAGTAGTAATGTAACAGAAGATAAAGGAGACTGAAAAAAATAGTTCATTATACATGAAAATAAATCTCAGATAAAAAAAGAACTAAATGTTAAAAAAAACTTTATGATAAGGAAGAAATTTTGCAAAAGTATTTACTTTTAGTTAAAGATACATGTATAGATTTCACTTTACAACCGTGAAGAGTAAAACTTTGATAGGTCAAAAAATTTTATAACAGAATTTAAATCACCAGAAGAATAGGGACTTTGTCCTAGGTACTGTCGTATCTCCAGAGCTTAGAATAATGGCTGATGTACTGTAGATTTGTAATTCACTTTTATCAAATGATAGCATGTGAGTCCATTCCTTTGGATCAAACTTAGTACAGAGTTTTTTAACATTAAAAATTTGTTTAAAATTTCTACCCCCAAAAACAGCCATCTGGATTTTTATAGGGATCGCATCAAATGAGTAGGTCAGCTTGGGAGGGACTTCCACCTTAGCATTGCCATATCTTCCAATGAATGAACACAGGCCATTTGTCCAATTATCTAGATTGTCTATAGTCTCTTTCAACAATGTTCCATAGTTTTGAGAGTACAGATTTCACACTTCCTTTGTTAAATTTATTCCTTAGGGTATATTATTTTTGATGTTTTTATAAATGAAATTATTTTCTTAATTTCATATTTTGTGCATGGCAAGTTTATAGAAATACAATTGATTTTTGTACATCTATCTTGTATCCTGCAACCGTGCTGAACTCGTTTATTAGTTCTAATAGTTTTTTGGTGGATTTGTTAGGAATTGCTACATATTTTATCATATCTTCTATAAATAGAGATCATTCTACTCCTTTCTTTCCAATACGGATGGCTTTTTTTTTTTTATTTCTCTTGCCCAACTGCCCTACCTAGAGCCTCCAGCACAATGTTGCACTGAAGTGGCAAGAGTAGACATCTTTGCCTTGTTCTTGATCTTAAAAGGAAAGCATGCATTCTTTCATCATTAAGTATGATGTTAGCTGTGGGCTTTAGTTTATGACATTTATCAGGTGTAGGAAATTCTCTTCTATTACCATTTTGTTGAGTGTTTTTATAATGATGGCATGTTGGATTTTTCAAATGTCTTTTCTGAATCTGTTGAGATGATATTGTGATTTCTTGTTTTTTTTTTAAATTTTTTTTATATTTTTATTTATTTCTAGGAGAGAGAGAGACAGCGTGAGCAGGGGAGGGTCAGAGAGAGAGGGAGTCACAGACTGAAACAGGCTCCAGGCTCTGAGCCGGCAGTCAGCACAGAGCCCGACGCGGGGCTCGAACCCACGAACCGCGAGATCATGACCTACGCGAAAGTCGGACGCTTAACCGACTAAGCCACCCAGGCGCCCCTGTGATTTCCTGTTTTTATAATGATGGCATGTTGGACTTTTTCAAATGTCTTTTCTGAATCTGTTGAGATGATATTGTGATTTCCTGTTTTTAATTCTACTGATATGATAATTGCTTTTTGGATGTTAAACCAATCTTGCATTAATAAGATAAAACAAGCTGATTCTAAGATTCATACAAAATTTCAAGGGACTCAGGATAGCCAAAACAATTTGAAAAAAACAAAATAGGACTCACACCTCAATTTTAAAACATACTACAAAGCAAGGGTAATTATGACAGTGCAATACTGGCACAAATATAGAAATATAGATCAGTTGAATTGAATTGAGAGTCCCAAGATAAACATATACTTATGGCCAACCGATTTTTGACCAAAAAAATGATACAAATGATGCTGGCACAAACTGGATATTCACATGCAAAAAATGAAGTTGAACCCTTTCCTCACACCATGTGGGATCAAAGACCCAAAATAAATGGATCAAAGACCTAAACGTTAGAGCAAAACTATAAAATTCTTAGAAGAAAACATAAGGGTAAAACTTCATAACTTTGGTTTTTGTGATTTATGAGGTGTGGTTTTTATGAGTACTTTCAAAGAAATTGGGAAGAAAAGTAGGGAAAAAGAAATCGGGAAGAAATTAAAACCCTAATAAGAAATAGAGAAAAATAAAAATGCCAATTCATAAAAGAAATAGAAGTACCAAATAAGCACACAAAAAATTTAATAACACCAGTTGCTAAGAAATATGAGTGAAAACAAAGCTCATTTGCCTACCAAATTATCATGGTATTAAAGGAGAGGGTCAAGCATACCACGTTTGATGTAGATATAGGCACACATATAATTGTATATATGAATACAGATATTAGATGGGTGTTGAATTGTTACTTTAAAAAAAAAATCCCAAACACACACACTTGCAGGAAGGATGTAAACCAGAAACGTATTAGTAGTTAAGCTCTACTATAAAAGTATATAGAATTATATAAATACAAGTTATATATGTGATTATATATATTACTTTCTTGGCATAAAAAGTAGCAGGTGTTTTAAAAGCCTATTTGCAAATAGAGTTTCCCTTTAATGTCATCAAAGGAATTAAAAGAACAAAGAAGAGAGCATTTGGAGAGAGATGCAGGCCACTACCCAGAGCAGAGAGCTCACAAAAACATTTCTGTTGCTACAGTTCAACACCCAGGAATGGAGGCAACACGCACCACAGGACTGTGCCCACCCATCCGGCAAACATCCTTATTTATTACCTGCTTTGGAAGTAACAAGCTGCAGCACAAGAGGCCGTCTGGTTACAATGCCCGACCCTCGAGGGAGAAAGTCCCTAAAAAAAAAGGAAAGAAAGAAAGAAAAGAAATAATAGATTAAGGCATTTTACATAATTCTGATTACCTAGAAATTTATAAGTCAAGTTCCACAGTAATTCTTTTAATTCCCAACCTGTCAGTGCATCACATGTCCAAAGAACACTAGACCCAGTTTATAAAAGAAGCATTTGATTTGAGAAGTAAAAAAAGGGAGGAGGGAAGGCCCCTTATATTGAATATTAATCCAGGTATATTATCATAATGACCTATTGGAATACGTCACTCATTCATTTAATTGGAATTAATAAAAGTTTACATTAAATTACTTTGTATTTTCACTTCTCATTCATTTTCAGAGTCAGCATTTATAAAAACATGTGATACAGAACATCCTTTTGGTAATTAAAAAATTCAGTGAGGCATCTGGGTGGCTTAGTCAGGTAAGCATCTGACTCTTGATCTCAGCTCAGGTAATGACTTCATAGTTCATGAGATCGAGCCTCACTTTGGGCTCTGCCCTAACAGCTTGAGATTCTCTCTCTCTGCCCCACTCCCACTCACTCGCACCTGCACAGGCATGTGCACACTTTGTCTCTCTCTCAAATAAATTAATTAAAAAAAAAGAAGATCAATATTAGCACCATCAAACACTGATCATTATTAGAGGTAATAAAGGCATTTTAGATTATACCTACTAAATATCCTGAAATTTTTTCCAATAAAAGGTTACACATAAAATGTAGGATTAAGTAGAGATAAATATTATGTATGCAGAGATTAACAGCAGAAAAAAACACTGAAGTTTGAATTTGTTTGTTCTCATTCCTGATGGGTGGGAGTTTATTTAAAATGGGAATTTTTTAACAAATAATAATTGTGTTTTAAATACATGTTAATATACACTAGATCAATAAAAATGCAGCTAAGAAAGTATTTTATAGCTACACCTGCAATGCCACATAAATCAGTACTAATTGTACAATGTCAAATTCATTAATATACCTATCACACAGCTTTTTAAAAAAAATTTTAATGTTTCTTTTTGAGAGAGAGACAGAGTGTGGGTAGGGGAGGGGCAGAGAGAGAAGGAGACATAGAATCCAAAGCAGGCTCCAGGTTCTGAGCTGTCAACACAGAGCCTATCTTGGGGCTCGAACCGACGAACTAGGAGATCATGACCTGAGCTGAAGTCAGACACCCAACCAACTGAGCCATCCAGATACCCCACACAGCTTTTAAATGTATTTAGGGTTTTTTTTAATGTTTATTTTTGAGAGAGGGAGAGACAAAGAGGGTGCAGGGGAGGGGCAGAGAAAAAGGAAGACAGAATCTGAAACAGGCTCCAGCCTCTGAGCCGTGAGCAAAGAGCCGCACACGGGGCTCAAACTCATGAACCTTGAGATCATGACCTAAGTCGAAGTCAGATGCACCAACTGAGCCACCCACGCATTTAGAATGCCTCACAACTTTTGGTAGATTCATCATTTTAAAACCCACAAAATTCCATTCAAAATAATTTCTGACTCAATAGGAATGTTTCTCAAAAATGGTTCCAGGACTATCAGATAGCATTATATCCACAGATGCCCAGGATTCATTCTAAACCTACAGATTCAGAATGCCCAGGGAAAGATTTACTCTTTTTTTTTTTTTTAATGTTAATCGATTTCTTTTGAGAGAGAGACAGCAAGGAGGGGAAAGGCAGAGAAACAGGGAGACAGAGGATCCCAGGCAGGCTCCACAGCTATCAGCTCAGATCCCGACTCGGGCTCAAACCCATGAACCATGAGATTGTGACCTGAGCCAAAACCAAGAGTCCAATACTTAATCGAGTGAGCCACCGAGGTGCCCCTGCAGAATCTGTACTCTTGACAAACTCCAGGGGATCCTGATGTTCACCATGGTTTAAGAACCACTGAGTTCAAGACAGGATACATCACTCAACAATTCGGTGGGTGATAATGGCCTGGGTCATACATGAGTTTTGTAGAAAATCTGGCAGAACAGAGCTTCAACACAACAGGATTTCAATGAACAACATCTTATAAAAATGGTAAAATCCACTGAGAATGCTACAGAACCCAAGCCTTAGCTCTACTGACCCTTTAGAATAGAGAGTTGCAGAGATAAAATTAAAATTTCCCCTACTATAACTAATTTTTTTCAAGTGCTAGTGTAAAGAGGAAATGATACTGAACAGCCTCTTAATTAAACCTTTACTCCTTGATTCCAAGGACTAAGTTTCATTTGGAAAGCCATATATGACTAAAATAAAAAATAGTGAAATTACAGACTTTTATTGGTGCCAAAAATGTCAATCTGAAATAAATAATAGTATTTATTCATCAAAAATTCACTGAGAAACTAAGAAGTGCTGGGGAGATGCTGTGGGCATCACCCTATACTAATTACACACCAGAAGTTTGAAATCTAATGGGAAGATAAAGACATGCACATAGAAGACCATTAAAGAAGGGAACAGATAAACTACACTGGAGTTCAGAAAAGAGAGACCAATACTCTCTAAATACATATAATTAAATACTCTTTCAATATTCTCCAGGAACTATATTAGAATATTTGCTAGTTTTAATGGTTTCAATAATCACTTAATTAATCACTGTGTCTAAAACCAAAACCAAGGGAAAGAAGTTAACTTGAAAATCAATAAGGATGAAGGGAAAACAAAACAAAACTCCAAAGCATGGAGTGGGAGGGAATCTGTTTGAGCTATTAGGACTTTGAAGGAGATTTTAGGATGTATAGATAGATGATGGCAGAAAGAAATAAATATTCATATCTTAAATGCTTGAGTAATGCCATTTAATGAATCAATAAAATATTTTATTAAAAAATAAAAAGAGGTAAAGAAGAAGGGGAAAATGAAAATGGAAGAAAGAGGTTTAGTTACTTTATACCTTCATGCTGAGATCTGTTTCAACCCATGTTTATGACCATATATTTATAATGTGGATTTAGTAACAATCCCTTTGAAACATTATTAAAGCAAAATATAATGTGTCAAATATTTTAAATAACAAATAATAATTATGTGTTTGACTAAAGTGTAAGTCCACAGATACATCTAACAATTTTCTCTTCTTTTTTATTAAATAAACAGAACTTTGCATTAAAAGTAATAAATGGATTCAGGTATCCAACCCCCCTTCTTACTAACTCACACTTACTGACCCCCTTTAGTCCTACCTCCAATACATGTATTCTCACCAAAAATCAAGATTTGGTAACCAAATCCTGCTATTTGGAAGTCTCTCCTGACCTCACAGGAGTATCTAAGTGCAACAAAGCAGTAGAGAGAAATTTCACTATTCTGGAGAGTACATGACTAATCTGGCATCCTGAAGATCCATGGCATTCTGATGATCCAGCAGCATGAAGACCATACACCCAGCACACTGCTGCTGTGAGAGCCGAGGGGTGAGCACTCAAATGAAACCCAGAGAACCTTGCTTTGAGCCCCAGTTCTGACAATGAAAGGACAAAATTCTCTTTAAACTTTAACTTCTTTTGCTACTAAACTGAGACAACCCTGTGGATCAAAGGAAATGTACCACATGACAACTTTTTAAAAACCCACCCACTATAGAAAAAAGTAGTACTGTTACCATTACTGTTGCTATAATATAGTCACAGCATGTTTTTCCTGATGTTGCCGGATTCTCTCATCTCAAATTAAAAAAATAAATAAAAAGCCTCTACACATAATATTTTAACATTCATGAATGGAATGTTAAAGATAAAGAGACCCAGACCCCACCTCAACTGCACCCTTGGTGTTGACCAGCTGCACTAGTTCAGAAATCTCAGTTCCTTATAGCTGCCTCCAGCAGGGAATCAAGACACTGATACAAATAATTATAAATAATTCATTAGTCATTGCATGCAACCATCCATTTGAATTTTATTATTTTCTACGTAATAGGTGGTTGATTCTCCCGTGTGTTTTTCTTATGGGAAAATAACTTTGCTAAATGAATGCAGAAAAAAATGTGCTTTTAGTATTACTGAGGATTTAAACTATAATTTCTGCTTATGGTCATGTATATAAAAATATAAAATTTGCATGCCATTTTTCTCCAGCATGAACCTTCAAGGTAAAAAATAAATAAATAAAAAGAGTAATCTGAAGGGGTGCCCGGTGGCTCAGTCATAAAGCCTCCAACTTCGGCTCAGGTCATGATCTTGTTCATGAATTCAAGCCCGTATCAGGCTATCTGCTATCATCGCAGATCCTGCTTCAGATCCTATGTCTCCCTCGTCCTCGGCCCATCCCCTATTCTCTCTCTCTCTCTCAAAAAAGTAAATAAACATTTACAAAAAGAGAGTAATCTCAAGACTAAGCATCATTTAATTAACTTCACTCTATTGACTGTCATATTTATTGTTGGACTGTACAGCTTTTAAGGCAGGAAGAGTGCTTCCCTCTCGATGCCTCATAGTAGCTACAACTCAAATGCCTTCCTTCTCTCTCGACCCACCTCAATTAAGCACTAATCTGCACAGATTTAACAGCTGCTCTTTGGGCAATAAATTGATGCTTTTTCATGGTTTCCTGACTTCTGCACTAAAGTAGAGAACAATTCCCACTCTAAGATCTAAGAACCATCTTGATAATATTTCTTATTAGCTCTTCCAGAAACTTAGTTTACCAAGAAATACTTACAAGAAATACATACGAAATGACTGACCTTTGGAAGCCTATAAAAAGGAGAGCAGCCTTGCTGTATCAATCAAGCTAGAAGAAGTTTTCCCATTAGCAACAAAAAAGTAAATATAGAGAAGTTTTTCTTTAAGATAGATGTGAAATGATCATTAACCAGATGAACTGCTCAATAAATATATGTTTAACATCTACCTAGACTGAAGACAAGAGGCATAACTTACACTCTACAAGAAGTTAATTCATATAGCTGATTCATTCAAAGATAAATAAGCTTAGTCTTAGAGAAGAATAGCATGCAAATGATACAACAAATATGACAGGTATATGGGTAAG